ATTCGAACCCAAATCCTGGAAATATTTTGAAAATTCTTCAACATTCCCCCACCATTTTCAAAATAGAATAGCCCATCAATTGTTTTGGAAATCTTATGCATACATGAAGGTATCTTACGATTTGAACCTTTCACTTAGTGAACATGTGTTGGCAAATTAATCAGAATTACATGGTAGACTAAAGCTTTGAACCAATGATTCTAAGTGATTAATTGGGCACATGTCACACACAAGACTTCAAGCTTTCCAAAGAAAGAATTCAACAACTACCGACACAAAAACTGGCCATGTGTCATGTATCCTTTTCATGAGTGCTGTTAGAGTCAAGTCCCCAACTCCTAGAAGCGGCACCACTTCCACTCATATAGGCAGATCCCATCAAAAGTGCCACCACATTAAGCACTTTAACAAAAATCTGTTATAAGACCTATTAAGAGTAAAACTCAACCTCCTTTTATTTCATGTGGTTACCAAGTACTCTTCCACTTGGGATGGTATTATTAATAAATTGAGTACTTGCAGTCACATTCATATGATGTACTTTACTCATTGAACTCAAGACTTGATGTTTTTATCAAGTGTTAACTCGAGGTTCCATCATGTGTGACTTTTGTCAATGGACTTGAGACCCATCCCTTCTTTGTCTTGTAAATTTTCCTTTTGATAATCCTTTTAATCAAGGATTCATGAAGTTAATTCACACAAGACTTTGCAAAAATTATGGTGATCACCTTTTATAAGAATTGATTATTTCCATGTCTACATTTATGACAACAAGTCTACTGTCATATAGACTTCTTTATAAGCACTTGATGACATCCTATTATTTGTAGTCATCATACACATTCATATAAGAATGTCTTAGATTAATATGAAATCTTGAAAAGTGTAGACATCTCTAAGAAAAAGTACTATCACTTTTAAACAATTCCATATAAAATCGTAATACCATGAACAAGTGGAATTCTTGCTTCTTCCACTTTCAAATTTAATTTATTTGCTTTTTAGGTGTCAAGGACTTTTAGTCCTTATTCCTTTCACTCTTGGGATTGTTCCCACCATTTTAAATATTGTTTGTCAATTTTATGACACCAATATTCTTCATGAGAAACATATCATGATAGTTTTTGATTTATCAAAAATGTTTCAAATCTTCCTGTTACTTTCTGAGTTTTCTGCGTAATTAATTCGAATCATTTTTGAGTGATTTGAACCAAAATTCTAGAACAACTCAAATCATTAGAGTCATTTTCCATGACCAAGAGCTATTCACTCTTGTTGTTTATAGGATTCTTTAAATCCATATTTCTTTATCCTTTGGACCATCTTTCTAGGCTTCCAAAAATGAATCAAGTACACAAGATTGCACTAGTTTCTGCAAATTATCTCATTAAGAGATAGCATTTAAACAAGGATTCAAAATCCTTCATGCCTTATCAAAACTGAGACCCTTTTTACTTGGCCTCTCTTCTCTTAGTTTATATTAAAACTAAGATCATCAGTTGGATCTCCAAATGGATTTGCCAAATCCCATTTCAATATTTCTTTCTTTAACATGGCTAAATAACCATCATGAGACTTGATTCTCACTTGTTTCAATTTTCATATACTGGTATAATCTTACAAGCATAAATAAGAGGCATCAAAAGTAACAAGCAGTCATGCTTTAAGCAACCTTTTATTAATGAAACATGATCAAGTTCATTAGCCTCTTATAATTCCACAAGTCCCATGTTAAAAATAGCAAGCATGTGTAACACATGTACAAAACTCAATGATTTTAACTAAAATTGTCATATACATAAACATGCTTAAAAGATAATCCAAGTAAAGGAAATCTCATTGACTTTAATAAGCCTTAAGCAAACCTTAATAAGATCATGTCCAGAAGTAAGATATACTACTTAAACTCCATAAAGCTTCATAAGCATTCACCAAAGAATAGTAAATAATCATTACTAAATGAAAAGAAAAATAGAACTTCATTTGTATCACATTAGTAATCTCAAAATCAAGGCACAATCATGATCTCAAAACATGATCATAGTCAAATCCATAAATATCTTCCTTCTCATAGCCAAGAACCATGCTATCAAGTCTGAGATTTATTTAATCTCCAAATGGGATTTAAAGACCCATTTTATGTCTCTTGCCTCATTGTGCCAAATGACTTTTAATTATGAATCTTTACACTGTCATTTGCATCTTTGATAACTTCTTTGAAGCCATTCTCCGCGAGATGTTTTCTCCTTGTATATAATTAATTAAACATTAACAAGAGAACTATCACCCATGCATGAACAGCCCATGATATAAATGGTGTGTGTGCCAAAACTCAGAAAAATTTGTGATTTAAGAAATTGTGATCTCAATTTCTTACTAATTTCATAATGTATTATTTTATTTTATCATTTTATTGGTTTTCGTACCTGTTTCAATATTGCAGTGAATCTCGACTCATCTTTGTTTCATATCCTCTCTAGACTTGGAAATTTCAATTGCTTCCTTCATGAATAGAATCATGTCTCCATTGTTTCATCTTTCATGAAAATAGATTTCCTTTGCTTTATTATTGTGAAACGTCCAGCAACCATCGCCTCATCTATGATTGATCACCATTTTTTCCCCATGATTTAAAGTGCCAGAAATCCATTTTGTTTTGCCATTGTTGCACACCATATCTCCTTGGCTTCACATGCATTGTAACGCAAGTTTCTTCTCAATTATCCAATAAGCCATGATCTCAAAAAACTAAAAATTAGCCTAAAGATTGTTGGATAAATAGGGGGTTAGAAATGAAATCATTAAATCATTGGCTTCAAGGCGTGTTGCAAATGCCACTTTCCTTTAGGCTAATTTTGCCCCCACCAGTTCTGGTATGCAAAGGGGTAAATGCTCATAGGATACAATGAAGCGCCTTGTTGATCTCGCCGAAGTGCCTTGTTGATCTCGCCTTTGCACTAGCAAGATCAAGCACTGAACCATCATTTGGAAAGCGACAAAATAATAGTTTTTGTATAGGGATTTCTCGAGCAATCGCAATACAAAAAGGGGCTATTTTATTTAGATATTTCTAGGTTCAAAAAGACTCTATTGGAGAAGAAGAAATAACTCCATATTTATAGGGCAAGATGTATGTTGGAATAGACACTTCTTTTCAAGATGTCTATTGGGAACAAACACTTCTTTTCAATTTTTATCCGTTGAAAACTCTTCCAAAAGTCATTGGTTTGATTTGAATTCCAACTCACATGTTTCCTTGCCTTCCAAAGTTATCCACTCTCTTTAGAAACTTATCTGAATTTTATCTCTTATTCTGACCTAAATGGTTTGAATCAAATAAATGTGATTTGAATCAAAATCGTAAATTTTCAGATTCTGGTTTTACGTAAATGGTTCGAATCATATAATTATGATTCGAACCAAAGTTACACTTTCTCAAATGCATTCTGTGCAATTGCTTCGAACCAACTTTTTGTGATTCGAACCCAAATCTTGGAAATATTTTGAAAATTCTTCAACAACAATTGATTTGAACCCAACCAGTATTGCATTTAAATTGTCATCCCCCTCTAGCAAAGAGCAAATCTTGATAAAAAGTATTAAGAAAATTAAGGTAGAAACATTTAATAAAGATTGAAAAATCTCCACAAAATAAAAAAAAAAACCTTACGAGAGAATTCCCACTTTTAACTATCTACCCTAATTGCCAAAGGGGAGAGAGATAACAATGAGGAGGAAGAAGGAAACAAGAGAGAGGTAAAAATCAAGATAAAAGAAGGGAGGAGGTGGCCAAGGTTAATAATAGTAGTAGAAAACTATTTTTAAATCAAAAAAGTTTTTACCTTTTATCATTAGAAAATATTTAGTTTTGATCTTTAAAAATTTTTATAGTTATTTAATATATATAAAAAAAGTATTGTGCAATTTGAATTATATTAAATTGGACAATTTAAGGATAGGCCTATCATATTAAAAATTAGGACCATGATTGGTGCACATCCGGATCCAACACCCGGGTGTGCACCCTCCACATAAAAAAAAAAGAGGACCAGGTGTTGGACCAGGTGTTGGACCAAGTGTTGGATCAATTTTTTTTTTATATATGATGTGTGCACACCCGAGTGTTGGATCCGGGTGTGCACACATCATTTTCTTAAAAATTATTTATTCATCTAATAATTTTTATTTTACAAATGAGAGTATAAAACAGGAAATTTTAATATAGATGCATGATTTATAAATTCAGATAAAACAGACATTTACAAAATGAGTTTGTCTAACATATGTTTTAATTAATTTATAAATACGTTAAAAATATAATAAATAAAATTTTTAATTAATTTATATAAAAATTATAAAAATTAACATTTATTTTAACACTATTAAAATGTAAATAATTTTAATTAATTAATTACTTTAAAATTAATACTTATATTTTTTTTATATAAATTAACATCACTAGATGAAATTTGCATATTCTCTTAAATGTTTTAAACTGGCTTATGACCAAAGTTTGACAGTGAGGCTTTGTGTTATGTATATGCAGTAATATTAGGTGTGTTTTAAGAAGCCTATGCATTACGTAGGGCTCCATTATTTTAACATTCTCAAACTGCAATTAATCTTGTAATTCAGTTGATAGATTAGCGGCTGCTGGAAATCATGGCGAGACACTATACACTAACTGAACCAAGCCCATGTAATACGCATTTTACCAACGGAAAGCTTAAATGCAAGGGGGAAAGGGAAACTAAGTAAAGGCTAGTGATGAGTAGAAGGCTTGGCTGTCATATGTTATTGAGTCAACATTTTAAATCAGACAAAGTAGAATCTACACCTAATATTCTTAAGGCAAAAACAACAAAACAGAACACAGTTCAACCTGATTATTCAATTTAAAGTAGAAGGGGTTGTGCTTTAGGCTGAATGGGAGTGGTTTGTTGTTAGACAAACCTCTATCTCAAATGATGCCAGGTGGCAATAAAAATCTCTATAGCTATCAATTTAGCACTTAATTACACTCCTATGGTTATAACTGCTTTAAGAGAAGCACTCTAAAAGTGACATTACAAAAATGTAAAGATTCCAAACTGTGCTTCGTTGTTCCAAGGCTGGTTTTCTATGAATTCAGGCAATATGTAGACAGTATGTCTTAGACTAGGAAGAACATTTATTTGCAATAGCAATAAGAGGAAATTTTCTGTGTATGGTAAGGCCAATGGATTCGCTTATATCTATATCATTTTCTTTTGCTCCACCAGGCAAAGTCCAATCAAACTTGTGCACAAGATTTGCTAAGAAAAGCTCATTGATTGTTGTTGCAAAGAGAATACCAGGACAGCCCCGCCTTCCGGACCCAAAAGGAATTAACTGGAAATCATGCCCTTTGAAATCTATGCTGCTGTTCAAAAACCTCTCTGGAATGAATTCTTCTGGTTGTTCCCATGACATGGGGTCTCTTCCAATTGTCCAAACATTCACAAAAACCCGAGTTCCAGCTGCAATGTTGTAGCCCATTACTTCAACGTCTTGAGCAGATTCTCTGGGTACTAATAATGGAGCTGGAGGGTGTAGACGAAGAGTCTCTTTGATCACAGCCTTCAAGTAATGCATCTTCTCCAAATCCTTCTCTTTTATGACTGATTTCTCACCTGCAATCTCTCTCACCTCCTTTTGCAGTTGTTTCATAACATTTGGGTGCCTCAAGAGTTCTGTCATTGCCCATTCTAGGGATGTGTATGT